ACGTCTTTTCACCTTTCACTTTTCAACCAAATTTTAACGTTGTTTAGACGTCTGGCATTTACGTCTTTTCGACGAGTTTTTGCTGGGTGGGAAGTATCTAACAGCTCCAGTTGACGGTAAAAACTGTTATTGATTATGTACTGATATCGACCACAGTGACCTGATGATATTTTATACACAGCTGATACCATATATATTACTGGCTGAGATCACTCAATGCACACACACACACACACACACAGTGTTACCTCTATAGTGGGGTCGTATTCATCCACAAAGTGGTTCTGGATGAGTTGGATGGTGAGAGCGCTCTTGCCCACGCCTCCAGCGCCCACCACCACCAGCTTATATTCAGTCATTCCTTCACTCCTCTTCAACCTCTCGTCACACCTGAGGAGAAACCAGCAGCGCCATCAATACAGACAAACCTCCCACTGTATCCAGATTCACCGATTTCTATTATAGACACGACAAAGATCCTCTTCAGGCCTTAAATGTATGTTTAGGAAAGGATTCGTAGGACATAATGTTTGTCAGCAGTGCTTTGTTGAAATTAGCATATAAGAAGTCCAAAGTCTCACTCTCTCAACTTTACATTTTAACTAAAGCCTGCAAATTATTACAAGCTGTAGTTTTTCTGTAGTTATTCATCCATATTAAAGACCAGATACAGCAAACCAAACTAACGGTGAAGAAAGCTGTCTGTGGTGTCGCTTCATGTCAACTACATCTCGGCCAACTGGTTATGTTTGAACACAACACAAAGACAACAGTCAACGACGTATGCATGTTCTGCACCTGCTTGAGAGGAAATTACTCTTAATACCAGTAGGTGGCAGGAGTTTGTATGCGTCACTATAAAAAGGGAAACCATAAACAAAGCAGTGCTGCGTATTTTGCTTGCTTTGTCACTTTCACTTTTTTTTTGTCTTGTGTACTAGTCTGCAAAGCTGAACTGTGGAAGCCAATTTCCACCATTGAATAAAAAAAAGTTTATATCTCACACTTCTGACTTTATTTCTCACAATTGCGCGTTTACATCTCACAATTGACAAATAAACTCGAAGTTGCAAGTTATAAAGTCAGTATTGCGTGATATAAACTCGCAATTGTAAGAAAAAGTCAGAATTGAGAGTTTTTATCTTGCAATAATTACTTTTATTTCTCGCAATTGCGAGTTTATATTCCACTATTCTGACTTTATATCTCGCAATTGTGAGTTTATATCATGCAATGCAGAGAAAAAAAGTCAGAATTGTGAGATGTAAACTCATAATTAAATTTTTTTTTTTTTTTTATTCAGTGGCGAAAATGGGCTTCCATAATGAACAGCCAATCTGGGATGGGTTTCCTAAAAGCATTGTTAGCCAACTATGATCGCAAGTTCCCTCATTAGCAACATAGTTTAACAATTCGATGTTTTTTAACGAAACAATAATTCCAACAAATATTTGCAAACAGTATCGCAATCTTGTGGGGGTAGAACTACAGCTCTTACTATACTTTTACTATAATAAAACTCTGGTTAATTTTCGTAAGGGTAATGCTGTTGTTGTCTAAAAGAACGGCCAAAAGACATAAAACCGTTTCAGTGTTTAGTTAAAAACGGTGTTGTGTAAACACCCCCTTAGTCTACCAAGACCAAGAATCATGAAGAATTTATCCTAAAGAAATCTGGAATGCTCTTTCATGTTCCACTGTTTAGTATTCAGTGAACAAACTCACACAGAACTGCAAGGAAGATAAACTATGAAATATGAAAAGCATTCTGGAACTTGAAAAAAGACCCAAGCTTGCAGCGCTCCAAGCTTTTATCTGATAACTGATCATTTTGTGGGTTTCAGTTCAAGTTTCAACACGGTCTAAAACAACATTAACTCTGAATGTGATCCAGCTACCGTCCCTCACTGGTTTTCTTATCATAGGCTGGATGTTGCTGGTTTCGGGTGGTTGATGTTGTTTTCCTGACTGTGAGGTCCTGTGGTTTCATTACAACTGCATTTCCAAAGAAAAAGACAGCTCCTGAGAAATGCAAGTCAGTGTCTAGTATTGCCTAATTTGACAGGAGTTATTTATTTATCCAGCAAATGACAAGTCAACATCGCTACAAATTAAGCATTCATTCCCACAACTTTTTAATTTATACCCTTATTTTAGTTAAAACGTGGCCACGACTTAACTAAACAAGGGCACCAAATTAGTACAATGTGGCCACGATTTAACTAAAACAAAGGAACCAATTAGTACAAGGCTACAATTTAACTAAATCCAGCAAACGAATCAATAAAACAATCCAATTACATTTGTTGGAAGAACTCTTAACACTCTTAAAAGGATAGTTAACTTAATTACTCACCCTAATGTCATTCCAAACTAGGGATGGGCATTCCAAGCAAAAATAATATTTGAAAATCGCTGGGTATTATTCGATTAATATTCGAAAATCGCACCCCTCCCTCGCAAGCACGCACAAACACCCATAAACATAGAGAGATGGAGAGAGACGGGATTCACGCTTTCAATCTGTGTGATAAACTGTTTAATTCAGAAGACAGTCTACCTTAACTCAAGCCATATAATGATTGTGACGTGCTGAAACATATTAATATAATAAACATGACCGAATGACAGCACTTATTATCATAACAGTCCATCGATTAGCATAAATCAACTGCTCATAAGGCTAGGACATTTCCATTTCGAAAAACTGAATCCCTTAAAATAGGTACGAGATGTGAAGAAAAATATACTTCAATATCTTCTGTCGCAATTATATCGTTGGGTAATTACTAGAGCCCGACCGATATATCGTTTTGCCGATATTATCGGCCGATATGAGCCTGTCGCCAATATATTGATATGAAAATTTTTTTTTACAGAACATATAACGCAGATAAAATGCTTGAAATGGTGTAATTACTTAGTTTGTCCAGCAGAGCGTGCTCCATTGTTTGCTACTGGCGACCTGGATGAAGCGCTTTAAAGCTTAAGTCTATGGAAAACCATTGAAACGTTGAACGGCCATATCTCCGTAACGGTGCGGCGGATACGCAACAAATTATGGGGATCCCTTCAGCTCGAGGAACCCTCTCGAACGCGAATCGAGTGTATGTCTAGAGGCCCACTTTCGAATGAGACCACCCCCACGTCGATAGCCCCTGGGGTTCGGGAGTTACGGGTGGTTAAATTCGTGGTCCGGCGCCGACCGATCAAGCGATCCCGGGGGGCTACCGACGCGCGGAGGGTGGCGTTCGAGAGGGCTCCTCGAGCTGAAGGGATCCCCCGAATTTGGTGGAGATCTGCCGGCGTGTTCACGAGATAGTGACACCAGTCAACACTTTCACTTTCGCAGCATTCAAGTGTGTCTTATTCGTCCGCAAGTGCCCTGCGAAGTGGACTTCACATGATATTCCGCCATGATTCCAGTTCCAAGGGAACGTACACGTTACAAACAAAGGGCATTAAAGTGCGCGAGAGGTGAATTTATATTGTATATATATCTTTGTCACGTCATTATAAGTGTTTGATCACCACATTTGAGTGATCATTGCAAAAAATGTGTTTATGTATATATATTCTTTTCATGTATATACTGTATTCTATATATAGTACCAGTCAAATGTTTGGACCCTGGAATGGGAAAGTGTCCAAACTTTTGACTGGTACTGTACTATAATATACACAAAGAATATCGGCCGATATATCGATATCGACCTTTTTTTACTCCCTAATATCGGTATCGGCCCCGAAAAACCCCTATCAGTTGGGCTCTAGTAATTACACTGTATACTGTAAACTGCGGGCATCAGGGAGTCGTTATTAATATGCGGGGCATTGAAATCACTTATGAACGCGAGCTTGTTTTTTACTTTCACTTTCGAGATTCGCGATCACATGTACAGAGCAGCACTCGGCAGTACTTACCACATATTTTAGAAGATTAGATGTTTGTCAGTGGTGCTCAGGATCTGCAAATCATTCGCCATCATCCTATTAGTCATCTCTCCTTACTCTGTAAGCTCTGTAACCATGTCTCTTTAGTGGCTCCGTAGAACGCGTTGTTTTTCGCGCCTTTCTGAATACACCTCTAACCCAGTCGGGGGTGTTTGTGGTCCTCACAGCGCTCTTATTTGACATCGTCCCAAGTTACTGTAACCATTATATGCTACGCAAGTCTTTTTTTATGCCACGCAAGTCTACAGTGTGCGCGTGAGACAATGTGTTCTTCTGTTGTCTTTGACAGCTTTTAGGTGCGTTATTGCCAGCGCCACATGAACGCGTCACCACCGCATCAGCACGGAAAACATGGGAAATTTTTTAAAGACAATAATCGCACAACCTATTTGATATGATATAATTAAATCAACTAATCGAATATTTGAAAATCGTGACCCATCCCTATTCCAAACCTGTATGCTTTTCTTTTTCTGTGGAAGTGAATGGGGTCCAAACGTTTGGAGGTCATTGACCTTCATTGTATAGAATAAAAAAAAGAAAAGAAAAAACAGACATTTCTTAAAATATCTTCTTTTGTGTTCCGCAGAAGAAATAAAGTCATACAAGCTTGAAATAACATCAGGGTGAGTAAATCATGATAATGTTTATTTTAGGGGAACTATCCCTTTAATGAGCATGTTTACATATATGATGCTATTAGTGTTGTCACGGTACCAAAATTTCAGTATTCGGTACCGATACCAGTGAAAATCCACGGTTCTCGGTACCAATTTCGGTACCAAAGCAAAACACAAAAACATGCTAATTGAACAACATTTTTATTAATAACGTTAAACAAAAATTAAATGTACAAAACCAATGCCATTCTTTATACTTATTTAAAAGTGTTTCAAGTTTTTCCACAAGTAATAAAAGTATGAAAAAAGTAAACAAGTTTCACCCAAAAGTTTAGTCATAGTTCTGCTGCCACTGAAAACATCTGTAAACTGTTGTCTGTTTTAGGGTTTGCTGGCGTGTTTCAGGATCTTCCTCAGTGTGCAGCTGTAAAAGGAAAATATAATATACTTCAGTAAAGCAATGGGCTGAATCTGACCAAATGCAACATAAGATCAATGACACCAGCTAAAATATAACTTTTCAGTTGTACCGTAACGTTTTCATTTTTTTAGTACCGACTTGGTACCGAAATACCGGGTCTTTTGACAACACTAGATGCTATAGTGCATAATAACTTAATAATGTGTAAGGCCATCTAAATACATTCAACCATATTCTGATCTCAATTAATTAAAAATAACTAAGTAAATAGAAACATTTTTCTTATTTTTAAAGGGGTCATATGATGCGATTTCAATTGTTCCTTTCTCTTTGGAGTGTTACAAGCTCTTGGTGCATAAAGAAGATCTGTAAAGTTGCAAAGACTAAAGTCTCAA